GGAGAGGAGAGGAGAGGAGAGGAGAGGAGAGGAGAAAAGAGAAGAGAAGGCCGGCCATGAGCATGTGGAGAGAGATGGAGGGAGAGACAGTGGGAACAGGAAGGCAAGAGCAAGAGACAGTGGGAACAGGAAGGCAAGAGCAAGAGAGGGAGGAGGGGGCAAGTAGCCCCTTTTATAGTGGGTCAGGCCTACCTGGTTATTGCCAGTTAACTGTGGGACAGAGCTTAGACAGAATGCTAACAGTGATCTAAGATGATATGACGTGATTCCTCTGGCTTGCACACACACACATACTCAAAACATGCATGCATGAGACACACACATAAGCAAAAAAAAAAAAAAAAAAAAAAAAATGACCCGACCATTCTTTAAAAAAAAAAAAAAAAAAAAAAAAGACCGGGCAGTGGTGGCACACGCCTTTGATCCCAGCACTTGGGAGGCAGAGGCAGACGGATTTCTGAGTTCCAGGCCAGCCTGGTCTACAGAGTGAGTTCCAGGACAGCCAGGACTACACAGAGAAACCCTGTCTCAAAAAAACAAAAAAAAAGGGGGAGGGGGAGGAAGAGACTACTCGGATATGGATGTCTTACTCTAACATCCTCTGGGATTCGAGGACAGCAGTAGCTGGGACCATCTCACCGTTGGTACTAATTTACCACACATTGGGAAATGTACACTTTCTAACTCCCAAAACAGCTCTCAAGGCTTCTCCGCCAGCACCTGACTCATCCTTCTCCTTCTGCAGCCCCTCCCTGGCTCAACTCCAGCTCTGCTACCTGAACGTGTTTTACCTCGGCTTCCCAGAGATCCAGGGTTTCATCACTTTTAATAACGACCTCTCAGAGTTTTTAATGGAGGTGAATCCCCTGGGTATTTTCCCAGCACTTATTTACATATGTACTTAACCTCAGGCCTCCCCAGGGTCCCTAGCTACACCTTTGTCAGGAAACCTCTTTTGGCTTCTGTGGCAATGTGCCAGGAGAATCCTTCCCAGAATACTTTTCCTGTCTCCTAGTTTTATTGTTTCAGTCGCAAACAAAGTGTTGGTGCAAGTGTTGGTAAGACGGTTGTTTGTTTTTAAAGGATCCTTACCTCCCCAAGTCAAGGAGAGGAGGATTTCTCTGTAACATCTTAAATCTGGAGTGCGTCCCTCCGTCTGTTGTACTTGCCTCTGTCCCTCTGACTGAAGCCGGAGCCCTTTGGAGGCAATTCTTCTGTATTCTCCTGTATAATTCTGCTATTCTTCTGTATAATCCTCACCCTGCTCACCTTTCCAAGGAAAATATCAAATATCAACTAGTTTTAGATGCTGGGGCAATCACAAAGCAGGTGCTCGAGAGTTGATTTCTTCTCCACATAATTATTCCATACACTAGAGATGGGGTGGTGGTAAAGTATCAGACTCTTGGGTGATAGTTTGGGTTTGGGGTTGGGAGCTTGGGGAGTTGGTTTTTGCTCAGTTTAACAGTTCAGTATTTTGAGAAGGAGAATCTCAAATAGCCTAGGCTGGCCTCAAACTCGATGTATAGCTGAGAAAGACCTTGAACTTATCTTTCTGCCTCTACATCCTAAATGCTGGGATTGCAGGCATGAGTTGGTTTTGTTGTTATTGTTGTTTGTTTGTTTGTTTTTCGAGACAGGGTTTCTCTGTGTAGTCCTGGCTGTCCTGGAACTCACTCTGTAGACCAGGCTGGCCTCGAACTCAGAAATCCACCTGCCTCTGCCTCCCAAGTGCTGGGATTAAAGGCGTGCGCCACCACCACCCGGCCGCAGGCATGAGTTGTGACAGCACTGGCAGCTCGGGGGTTTTTGTTTGTTTGTTTGTTTTGTTTTGTTTTGTTTTGTTTTAAGTAGGGTCTATATATGTAGCACAAGCTGGCCCCAGATCAGGCTGAGCCCAAGTATTCCTGATCTGTCAGCTTCTTGTGCTGATATTACAGATGTTCACCCCTGGCCTGACTCTGTGCTTCCTGCTGCGTTACTCACTTAACTTCTTTCTCTTCTGAAGACTGAGACAAGGGCTTCACACCTGCTAAAATAGCATTCTGCCGCTGAGCCATAACCCTGCCCTTTGAACCGTAACATTTGCAAGGTACTCACAGGGTCGAAAGCGTGTTTCAGGCATGCACCTACCAACTCACAGACTTAACTTTCAGGCAATGCTGGGAGGCAGATGAAAGTGATGGTTCCCTTCCGTCATCCGAGGGAGGGAAGCCACGCGAAGGGAAATTAGCAAGAGAATAATCACTTCCTGTTTGCTAGGGTACTTATAATCAAGAACACAGAAAACAGCTGACAGTAAGGAGACAGAAAAATGTGTCCCAGTTAGGGCTCCATTGCTGTGAAGAGACATGATGACCAAGACAAGTCTTAGAGAGGACAGCGTTTAACTGGAACTGGATCGCAGGTTCAGAGGTTCAGTCCATTATCATCAAGGCAGGAGCATGTCAGCGTGCAGGCAAGACTGGTGAGGGAAGAGTTGAGAGTTCTACATTTTCATCTGAAGGCAAACAGGAGAAGACTGTCCTCAGTGTGGCTAGGAGGAGGGTCTCCAAGCCCACCCCCACAGTGACACACCTACTCCAACAAGGCAGTACTTCCTAATGGTGCCACTCCCTGGACCAAGCATATTCAAACAACCACAGATGTCATGGGCTATCATCTGGCAGTTAAAAGAAGTGTCCTTCACGCTGTGACATGGAGGAAAATGACCTCATTGGAAGAAGCCAGTCAAAAAGGACCACACATAATTCAATAAGCAAACCTAGTGGGGGTTCACTCAGGGCTGGGAGACATGGAAGTGATAGCCAAAGGGCACAGGCTTCCTTTTGGGGTGGTGGAAATGCTCTGATGTTGACTG